AAACACACAACATTTACCAGAGAGCTTCTCTCTTTTTTAACACACTGAATGGTGATACACTATATATATCTCGTTTTTGTTTTTAGTTGGCATCCAAGCAAAAAAGAATGACTCCCTGTCACAATTACTGTAATTAAAGTAAAAAATTATCTCAAGCTTTTCTTTTTTCTTTCTTATTTGGCAGATGCTGTGATGACCAACTTCCCGGCAGCAACAGAGTTGGACTTGAGGAATGCAGTTGGGAGGCATTTTAAACAAGAAATAAAACCAATAATTAATAATTTCCTTTAAGTTCACTGTTGGTTGTTTTATTTGTTAAAAGTAAACCAATAAAAGGGTTCATCTTTTTTTATGTTGTCATTTATCCGTAATGTTTTAATATTAAGTGTGATAACATGCTCTTGATTTGTATTAGATTTTTTTTTTTAATCAAGTTTCATGATTTTAATTAATTAGACATGTTTTTTTTTGTTTGTTAAAATTTAATATAATCATCCAGAAAAAAAATTTAATCCAGAAAAATTAAAACGGAAAAAAAGATTTTGGAAAAAATAAAACTTAGGCTAATTTGGGGAAAATAAAACGGATTTCAGAGGGCCCTACAAATATCATGCATCTGAAGCTATAATTTTAAAAGCCTAGACGTCTAGGCTATATTTAGACGTCTAATAGATTAGAACGCAAAATTGCTTGCTGGGAACCGTCTGTGCGTCCGCGTTGAACGTGCTTCTTAGCAAAAGTAGGGCGATGTAGAAAATGATGACTGAACCTATTCATAAAAACGGAATGTACTGTGTAACGCGGAATGTGACGGAATGAACGGCGCTAGTTTGTCTGTAGTAGTTAAATAATATTTTTGCCATTTAATATTCACATACACTAGTCCACATCGCGGTTTGATTGAAGTGTACTGAATTGCATTTGATTTATTCTTTCAATATTTTACGAATTCCGTGACATTGCTCGTTACACAGTAAACTTCTGTCGTGTAGCATTTTGAATGTACAAAAATTAAAGGGTTTGTTTAATTGCGTCCGCGTTGAACGTGCTTCTTAGCAAAAGTAGGGCGATGTAGAAAATGATGACTGAACCTATTCATAAAAACGGAATGTACTGTGTAACGCGGAATGTGACGGAATGAACGGCGCTAGTTTGTCTGTAGTAGTTAAATAATATTTTTGCCATTTAATATTCACATACACTAGTCCACATCGCGGTTTGATTGAAGTGTACTGAATTGCATTTGATTTATTCTTTCAATATTTTACGAATTCCGTGACATTGCTCGTTTTATTTTGCCTGGGGCCCCCAAATCACTAAATCCGCCCCTGCTTAGGGCCCCCATTGCTTAACAGTTCATACTGCTCCACTGACTGTACCTACTTCATAAAGTCCTGTTGTATTTTTCCTCACCCACAATGAGATCACTATAAGGAGGATTAAAACAAGCAGTCCCAATACCAGAGCAACAATAGGAAAGTAGTTGCGAGAGTCATCTAAAAAAGAAAGCAAAAAAAAGAAGTATGTTCAGTTAATGAAGAACTGATTTTAAACTCTAGTATTAAACATTCATTTTGTGGTTAAATGTCAGTAATATATCACGCAATTAAAAGAACTATCATTTAATATCTTATGGGGAATATCATATTATTTTCACAGCCACAGCCCAAACCTCTTATCTCCACTACGAAGCTTTTGTCTTTGCGTCCAAATGTATTCGTGGCACTGCATGTATAAACTCCAGCATTGGAAGACGTGGCTCTCTCGATGTTTAAGGTTATGTGGCGCCTCCCAGTGGAGATGTTCTTATTTTTTAAACTCCACCACATCTCAGGTTCTGGGTTACCAGTCGAGGTGCACTCTAGCGTTATGTTGCTGTCTTCTCCCACGACAAAATTCTGTTGGCTGACATAAAACACTGGGGCATCTGTGTTGAAAGTAGAAAGTTGTCTTTGTTAATTCACTGGCTACGGTTGTTAAAGAAATATACATTGAAGACCATTTTTCTCTTACGTAGGATGTTGATGGTGAATGTAGAATTAATTGTTCCGTGTTGGTTATGTGCGATTAATTGATACCGGCCACTATCAGTCCAATTGGGATAAAAGTCACGCTGGATAATTTTTCCATTTTTGTAGAAGGAGAATTTAGGCTTTGGTAATCCATCGGCTATGCAAGGAAATTTGAAGAATGTTTTTTCTTTTACTTCGTAGCTCTCGCTGCAGTTCAGTTCTGGAGGATCTATTTTGGGGAGATAACAATCAACTTAAAGACACAATCAGAGATAAAACGTCAGGTTTTAATGTCCTGAAGAACTCTCACACTTACACTCTACTGTGATGTTTATGGAACAATTGAAATCACCATGGTCATTACTGGCAATGATTTCATATTGGCCAGAATCAAATTTGGTAAGAGGCATAGAGGAATTGACTGATGATGCTTTGTGTCTCCAGGAGATGTCTGGACGAGGGTTACCCACCACAGAATATAAATTTAAAGGATGTGAATCCAGTGAGGTCCCCGTCAATGGTGACCAGCTGTTACAAAATGTAATTTTTGAAGCATCTGGAAAAGAAGAACATAGAACGATAGGAAGAACATATTTATTTGTTTGTATTTTGGGAGAAGTTCTTGCTTCTTTACATATGTGGAGACATAAAACAATATTTTGTTCACTAACAATATACAGTGATATTGAGAGGGTCTGATGTTTCTTTTGGAGGAGGTTGAGGTCCTTCTGCTCCCAGTTCCAGCACTGCTTCACACCTGTATTGAGCTCCATCATCAGCTCTGTCTGGACGGATCAGGAGTCTGGTGGTTTCATTCACTGGAGTCTTGCTAGCGTCAGTGAAGGTGGTTTGATTCAGCAGAGTCTGTCCTTTGTACCATTTGACAGTGAGATCCTGAACTGGAGCCACATCGTGAACATCACACTGGAGCTCATACTGCTTTCCCTCTATCATTGGTCCGCTGTGATCTACAATGCTGATGGACACACTGTCTGGAGTCTCTGTGGAGGAAGATTTACAAACTCTGAAATCTGCAGTGATGAATGTACATTTATTAGATATTTCTGAGAATGAAAAGACAAAAATATAAGTAACAGGGAAACTGACTGTAAATAGTGACTGGGAGCTCTACTTGACACTGTTCCTCATGGTTTATGAAGCAGAATGGCTGTATGTCCCATTCTATCAGATTTGACACTCTCCATGTGATCAGACTGTCTCTGGTCATGGGCACGGCTCCCTCACTGGCTTCCCATCCCATCCCTTTATGTGGGACTGAAGTTTTGCAGTCAGCTGAAACATCGTCACCGTACCTCACAACAGCTCTCCGTGGGATGAGTTGAATAGGACATTGACTCTCTACAGAACAGCATGTGATTGAAAACCAATGAAGCTTCATCACAGAATAACAGCATTATTTACAAATCAGTTTGGGCATTTATCTATCTATACAGTACTGTGCAACAGTCCTTCAAATATTTGGCAATGTAAAGCATAAATAAAGCATAAATGCTTTTCACAAGTGTGAGCAATAAAATGAGAGATGCCTTAGTGACTTTTCACACAGAACATGCTTTTCAGTTTAAAACCATGAGACTCAGGGCAGTGGAAAAAACTCAAAACACGTTTTTTAACCATGTGGTATTTCCTCTCTTAGGGGTCACACTTGTGATCATCGGCGGTCAAAATAGACAGAAGACAATAAGCGCAACATATATTTTTATTAAATGAATGTACTGTATTTTGTTTCATGATATTTGTTGTTTAATATTTTGCAGTTTGATGGGATTTCATGGTACTAGACAATATTCACCTCTAAATTATGCACCATTTATTACTATATAAAATAAATACATTTTGGCTGGCTGTCTATCTATCTATCTATCTATCTATCTATCTATCTATCTATCTATCTATCTATCTATCTATCTATCTATCTATCTATCTATCTATCTATCTATCTATCTGTCTGTCTGTCTATCTCTATCTACAAAAATATGTTATCACTGCAGCACTCTTTTAAACAGTAAGAATGTAAAAATTAGAAACTGTAACTTAACACTGCCTGAGGACAAAGAGGTAGATGTGTTTATTCCAAACTGACCTGTAGATTTGATGATGAACACTTTGCTGTCACTTCCCAGAGAGTTTGTGGTGGTGCACGTGTAGTTTCCTGGACTGAGGAGGACTGTGTCTATCTATCTGTCTGTCTGTCTATCTCTACAAAAATATGTTATCACTGCAGCACTCTTTTAAACAGTAAGAATGTAAAAATTTGAAACTGTAACTTAACACTGCCTGAGGACAAAGAGGTAGATGTGTTTATTCCAAACTGACCTGTAGATTTGATGATGAACACTTTGCTGTCACTTCCCAGAGAGTTTGTGGTGGTGCACGTGTAGTTTCCTGGACTGAGGAGGACTGTGGAGGACTGGAGCACTGAGGAGCTGATCTCCTCTTTCAGATGCTCTGAGTGCCATGTGTACGTAGGAGCCGGGTTTCTATCTATCTATCTGTCTGTCTATCTCTACAAAAATATGTTATCACTGCAGCACTCTTTTAAACAGTAAGAATGTAAAAATTAGAAACTGTAACTTAACACTGCCTGAGGACAAAGAGGTAGATGTGTTTATTCCAAACTGACCTGTAGATTTGATGATGAACACTTTGCTGTCACTTCCCAGAGAGTTTGTGGTGGTGCACGTGTAGTTTCCTGGACTGAGGAGGACTGTGGAGGACTGGAGCACTGAGGAGCTGATCTCCTCTTTCAGATGCTCTGAGTGCCATGTGTACGTAGGAGCCGGGTTTGCCTTCACTGTACAGTTTAGTGTGACCTCGTCGTTTTTAATGATGGTCTCTATTGAATTGAAGTGTTTTGGTTTATCTGAGGAGGACAGAGAGACATTTAATAGCACAACAGCACCACGATGAGCAGCTGTTATTAACAGATCAGAAAAATACTGTACAACTGAAACCTTTTTATCTATGGTAATGCAATTCATAATATGTAATATTTGATCAAAATTATCTGTTAATATGCAAATCTCTGTATGTGATGAAATATGACCGTTCCTTCACACTAAGGCCCTTTAGAAAATATACATTTAATTAAATGGCAATCATGGAAATAATAAACTTACAGTGTACTTCAGCACTAAGAGTTTCTAAAGATTCTATAGGATATTGAGGTCCTTCTGCTCCCAGTTCCAGCACTGCTTCACACCTGTATTGAGCTCCATCATCAGCTCTGTCTGGACGGATCAGGAGTGTGGTGGTTTCATTCACTGGAGTCTTGCTAGCGTCAGTGAAGGTGGTTTGATTCAGCAGAGTCTGTCCTTTGTACCATTTGACAGTGAGATCCTGAACTGGAGCCACATCGTGAACATCACACTGGAGCTCATACCGCTTTCCCTCTATCATTGGTCCGCTGTGATCCACAATGCTGATGGACACACTGTCTGGAGTCTCTGTAAATAGATTTCAGAGATATCAATATTTGCAGTTAAAAGTGAATTACAGAAAATAATTTGTTTTTTGTGGGGGGGGGGGAGAGACAACTCACTGTAAATAGTAACGGGAAGATCCTGTGAACACTGTGTTTCATTAGAGTACATGTAACAAGTTAGCTTCATCTCCCAGTCCGTCACATCCACACTTCTGAAGATCTCTTCAGTGTTCTCCATTGTGTCATATCCCTCCCATTTCAAGCCGAACTGGTGTGTTTTGTCGGTGGAGGAGCAGTTCACTGAAAATGAATCTCCATATTCAACCACCACATCAACAGGACTGAACAAAATGGGGCAGTCTGCAATAGAGAACCAACAAAGACAATGCATTATGATAAAAAATAATCTATGTGCAAAGTAGTATTATTAGAGTTGCTAAACATTAGTCAAGATATAAACACGTCATGTAAACTGAACTTCTACTTGACTTTCACCAAATGACTTTGCTACAGACTCAAATCTTTGTGTTTGATGTAACAAATTCTGATAATCATCAGAAATTTAGCATTTATATTTTATGAATTGTGTGCCTTGTATTTACCCACAGAAAGTAATAGCACGATTCTTTAAAGGAATATTTCATCCAGAAATGAAAATGTGCTCAAAATGTACTCAGGTCATCCAAGATGTAGATGAGTTTGTTTCTTCATCAGAACAGATTTGGAGCAATTTAGCATTACATCTCTTTTACATCACTACATTTAGCTCACCAGTGGAACCTCTGCAGTGAATGGGTGCCGTCAGAATGAGAGTCCAAACAGCTGATAAAAACACAATAATCCACAAGTAATCCACATGACTCCAAAGCGAAAAGCTGTGTGTTTGTAAGAAATCCATCAGGACGTTTTTAACTTCAAATTGTTGTTACCGGCTAAAATATGAGTCCTATATCCATAATATTTCTTTCTCCATTAATAAAATTGTCCTGTCTGAATTAGGAGAGAAATATGCACAGATCAAGCACTGTTTACATGCCAAACTGTTCTAAACGATGTTGGTGAACTTTTTCGCTGGAGGAAGCGTTATTATGGATTATGGACTTGTTTTTGGCCAGAAGTGACCACTTAAACTTAAAATGCCTTAATGATGGATTTGTCAATTACAAACGCACAGATTTTTGTTTCACAAGACATTAATTGATAGACGCGAGTCATGTGGATTATTAGTGTATTATTGTGATGTTTCTATCAGCTGTTTGGACTCTCATTCTGACGGCACCCATTCACTGCTGAGAATCCACTGGTAAGCAAGTGATGCAATGCTAGTACATTTTCAGCAAATTTTCATTTTTTGGGTTCATTTTGTCCCCAAACAAAAGTGCTATTATATTCCGTGGGTTAGTTTCTGTGGGATAGTTCATCCAAAAATGCAACGTCTGTCATCATTTACTCACCCTTATGTCTTTATATGTATTTGGCACTTAAAAGAAGATATTTTGAGATAAAGTCATCCAGGTTTAAAACGGCATGAAGGTGAGTAAATAATGACAGAATTTTCATTTTTGGGTGAACTATCCCTTTAAGAGATAATAAAAAAATTAATTTCCTTTAAACACCTCAGTGAAACTGGTTGAACAAATATATATTTTTTTTTTAAAAAACACTTTCCCTTTAATTAACAATTAATGTTATCATTGTTCTCAATACGGCACTGTAAAAAATAATCATGGGTCTTTTAATTTTCATTTAAAAAAAACTAAGGTGATAATTAAACATAGTGTGTATATTTTATTAAAGAAATTGTTGTTCAGTGCCGTGTCAACATTTCACTAATAAAACCAAGAGATATGTTTTCCTCACTTAAGCCGTTTTGAGGCTTGCATTGAGGAACTGATTAAGCTGATAAAATTAAGGAATAAATACCTTTTTTTTTTTTAAGTACAATTTAGATTTTAGATTTAGATTTTTGATTGTTAGTTCCCACCATGCTTTGCATATGGCTGGATATGGAGAGTAAATATTGAAATGAAGTGTTATTTTATGTGTTTATGAGTAAAGGGAAACATCTGTTAATGTTTAATGTTCAGTTATGTTTGACATTTGAAAGAGTTTTTGTTATGTTGAAGTTTCTGTCATTACCATTGCGTGGAAGAGCAGAGCTTATGGTTAGGATATGGATAACTGCATGTACTAACACTATAAGGAAAGATGCTTTGTTCAATGAGCAGTAGCTTTGCTAATGCCAGTACAGTTACCAGTTTTCTCCTACTTGAGCTGTCTCACTGTAACCACTGTAATTCAAATACAAACAGGCCTTACTCAAGAACACAAACTTTTGAGAATCAACTTAAAATAAATGAGCACATTTCACTAATAATATTAAAATCATTAAAATCATAAATAATTTTGGAGATTTTACATGATTTATTCAGGTAGATTCCTGAATCAAGCCTTAAAATCTACTCATAAATATTACATGTAATATTGTTACCATATTTTGAGTAGCATATAACATTTTTTACAGTGTTTAACCTGTCCTGTACATATCTGTTAACATTTCAAGAAATGTGTTTAAGAGTTTTATGACCCATGTAACAGCCTTGAAAATAATGTACAGCAGATATTAGACAACAGTCAAGCAGTAAGGCAGAATGCATTGCTTTTCACAACAGATATGGCGGTATGATTTTGTTTTTGGTGTAACTCTAACTACACTTTGGTATGTAACTGATCCTACACCACAACAGACATTAATGACAAATCATGTGGTTTGTTGCTATTATTTTTCCAAGCCAATAAACAACCACCTACCATCCCACGCAGAATACCTTTAGAGATGCCAACCATTCAGAACACCATAGTAACCACATCCACATCAAAAATGTCTACTTATCGATTCAGTCAATATTCAGTTTCTATAAAAGTTCTTATACATGAAATTATCTCATTCATATGTTCTCACCCTGTGTACAGAGGAAAAGCAAAGATCAACATGTCTTGAACGTTTGGGCGTTAGAGGTGTGAAAGCAACTTGAAGGCCTGCCTACATTTACATTTACATTTAGCAGACGCTTTTATCCAAAGCGACTTACAAATGAGGACAATAAAAGCAGTCAAAACTAATAAAAGAGCAACAATATATAAGTGCAAATGACAAGTCTCGGTTAGCCTAACGCAGTACACATAGCAAGGTGTATATATATATATACAGTGGGGCAAAAAAGTATTTAGTCAGCCACCAATTGTGCAAGTTCTCCCACTTAAAAAGATGAGAGAGGCCTGTAATTTTCATCATAGGTATACCTCAACTATGAGAGACAAAATGAGAAAAAAAATCCAGAAAATCAACAAACAAAGATAGAATAGAAAAATAGAAAGCTAGTGTTTTTTTTGTTTGTTTTTTTTTTTTTATAAAAAACTAAACAAAAAAAGATAAATATATATAAAGTAGAATTATAATAGAATAGAAAGTGTTAGAGTTAAAGGGTCAAATAAAGGTGGTAACAGATGTGTTTTTAGTCGTTTCTTGAAGATGGGTAAGGACTCAGCTGCTCGGATTGATTTGGGCAGGTCATTCCACCAGGAGGGAACAGTTAATGAAAAAGTCTGTGAAAGTGAT